CAATTCCTGCTTTCAGTCTGCTTCTCGCTATCACTGGCATCTGGTTATTTAAGCTTTAGATTAAAACCTTGCTAATCTGCACTTTAAACTGTCACGGCTGAGGTCAGAGTTGTGGTTGCGGTCTCACGCAATATTCATGTAAGCACAAAACTGGAGCAGCTTATCTGAAATGCATTTTTAAAAAAATCATTTGTTTATTCTGGTGGGACTCAGTCTTCCTCTGCTATGCATCAATTTAGCTTCATTTATTTAAAAAGCAAACCAAAGCACTCAACAGGATTACATCGGTAGGAGAATATCCGCTCAGAAGTTTTGTACAAATGGATCAGACTAATTTTTAAACAAAATACATGAGCTAGACTGATGCGATTTTGTCTAGCGCAAGTGATTCAGGTCTTACGCTTTTTCAATAAAGAGGTCACAAAACACTCTGTAGCTCAAACTGAAAGAATAGTTACAGGAAAACTACCCTTTTTTTTTCCTTTCTGAAATGAATAAGGTAATGTATCCTGATGCAATGTAACCCTAGTCCAGAATATAAACAAATGCCTCCACATGATCAAAATAATTTACTCTGTGGAGGGGTTTTCACAAAAAAAGCTGTTGTTTTTGTTTCAAGCACCTGAAAACAGGTGGTTTTCCTTGTTGCTGGCAAAGTTTGTACTTTGCCGTTCAATCTGTTGCATTCAGTTGTGCTTGTAATTTCTTGCCAAATTTTCATTTAAAGAGGGAATTACCAGGGTTTTATTCCTCTTTGTTCCCTGGTGACATGGAGATAAAGGTTTTTAAGAGCTATGAGGTAGTCTTAAGAGTGTGAGAGAATGCTTGTACATCATCTCTTTTACCACTGAGGATTTTTAGTGTCTGTGAGTGGAATGATCATAATCCAGGATACACAAGATAACACAGGGAGCTGCATTAGTCCATTTTTTTCTTCCTTCTCACGAAGAGGTAGTGCAGTAAGTTTCCCCATGGTGGCTGAATACTGCAGCTGCTGTCTGGGAGAGGTACCAGAGAGTAAAGAACACTTGAGCTTTGGTAAGACTGCAGGGAACATCCTGTGTCAGGACTGTGTAAGTTAATTGATCACGACCTGAGCAAGCCTTTGGCGTTCTCTGTCCTATAGGCCCATGTCCTGTGCCCCTATAATGTACTTAATTAGTTGGAAATTAAAACTAAAGGTCCAGAATTGTATGAAGGCAAAGGATGGACTTTTATTGGTGCCCTGCTTGCCTTTTCCCCAGAACTGTAACTTTTAATTGTTACCTTTTGCAGATCCCACAGGAAAACTTCTGTACTCTTGTCAGTTTTTGAACTTATTTTAACTGTATGAGCGTTTTAATTGTAGATTATCAAATCACGCAGGCCAGTTATGTATTATGTAAAAAATTGTACATGCAACATGCTTTCTGAAACCATAGCCAGATGGATAGGTGCCTCATTTGGTTGGAAAGTGTGATGTGGATACTTACAGGGTATCTAAGGGTGTAGTTGTTTGTAGGAAGCCAAGTTGGTGTAAGAGAGTGGAAAGCAGCGCGTCAGTTCTAGTGTTGTTCTAGTTAACTTGAAACTAAGAGAACATAAGTAGTGTGTTTTGGAAAATGTTCCAGAGTCCTGATTTGACTATAACGTGGAAAATACTGCTTGTGGGATATGAGAAACAGAACTAAGCTATTTAATGAAAAAGAAAATATGATTGCCACATTTTTTTGTGAGCTCCATACAGAAGAATTTCAGTATTAAAGTTATTTCAGCTTCTGCAATGTTAGGAAATCATCCTGATGGCCATTGCAGAGTACAAGTCATGCTCAGGCTCCAAGTTTGCAAGGCTTGCATTTCCAGACAGCACCTTAGCATCAATGGGAGTTCAGTGCCAGAGGAGCACTACCATGGACAGAACTGCTACCTTGTTGGCTAGTCACTAGCATAAATCTGTATTGCTACAGCTGTGATAAGCAGATGTGTTGTTTCCTTTGTCACCTTGTTCATTGGAAGAGTAAGGACTTTCTAGCCAAATTTTGAGATACTGCAATTACCTGTTCTGATTTTCTTCTTTGGTCAGTTTCAGCTTCAGAGATGCATAAATCTTCTTCCAAACCAGTTTGTTTATAACCAGCTCTTTTTTTCCCCTTGACATCTCTCTTTGGCCTAACTGTGTCTAAAAGCCTCCCAGGCTCCCAGAGGACTTGTTCATACTCCATCAACTCTGCTGTCACTGCTTCCTGCCTGCTTTGTGGCGTGGGGAGTCTTCCTGCTCTGTGCTTGTATCAGCACGTCACACACTGGGATCCTGGTCCATGACTGTATTCCTAGTGTTGCTGACAGTCTCTGCTGCCTGGTGGCAGTAGGATTTTTTCTGAATGGAAGATGCTGAAGTGAGCCAATTTCTTTGACTGTGTAGGTTCCTTTCCATGGGTTAAGCAAACTGATCTGCCTCTTAAAATCTGTTCTCAGATGGTGTTGAGTGATGAGCAACAGCAGCTGAATAAACAAATGCCTTCTTCATATGTCATCCTCAAATTATTTCTCCACTAGGTTTTCATTAATGGTAGTAAAAGTTTGTCAGTCTCTTTAAAGGGTCCATCTGTCCCAAAGGAGTACCTTTGACCCAGAGTTGTTTCCTACATCGACTTTAGGGGAACGTTGCTGGGAGTAATTTTCTCTTGTGCTTGGGCTGAGCAGGCAAACATGAGAAAGTTGAGGCTGGGGAGCTTTTCACAACTGCTCAGTTACAGTGCCATGGCTGTCCTTCAGCACTGCAGCTCCTTCTGGGGAGAAGCAACTACAGTGATGTCTCCTGCTAATTGCCAGTAAAATGTTTTCAGTCTTTAACCAAAGAATCATCCTTTAGGCTCTTGGTAGGCAAGAGAAAACATAAAACATGTCTTGGTTCAAATCATGCATATTAAGTTTGAAAAAAATGTGGAAATGATCTGAGTTATCAGCCTTTTCACCTTCCTATAAGCAGTTTTCTGTCATACTCAGTTGTTTCTGTAATGGGGAGCCAAAAGGAAAAAAACAAAGTATGAAAGAACTTACATTGTCAGTCTCCCTTTACCCTGCACAAAAAGGGTTTTAACAATTTACCTTAATGTTGTATTTCAGACCTTCCAGACACCAGCTATTGCTCAGGAAGCTGACTTCCAGAAAGCTTGACTAGCTGTGTCTAGTGCCAATACTTCTAGTGCTTTCTTCATGTGAGGCTTGACAGCTGTTGAGAGGGGCAGGTCACTCACTGGTCAGGACATCCTGTTCTCAGCTCCTTGCTTTTGTAGGCTTCCTGAGTTGCCAGTCTTGAATATTTCAGGAAAATTCCTCTGGGAATGTCACTTAAGAAACCACTTGAAAGGTGGTTTAAAGATAACGAGCCACATTTTGTTGCTCAAAGTTTTGATGCTGTTATTTTGCTTTTGCAAAAACAGCAGAAACAGAGGACCATAATTTGTTGAGCTGGAGCTTCACTGAATGACAAATGTTATTATAGATGTACTAGAAAGCCTGTAGATACTTAAGATTTGTTTTGGTTTCTGTCTTTGTGATACTGTGGTGGTTTTTTTTCCTAGATAAGCAACGTCTTGTTTTTCGTTTTACCACCCATATGTATGTGCTTGTTCCGTCAGTACGCGATCTGCTTCAACAGTGGGATATATTTAATATGGACTCTGCTGGTCGTGGTTGGTAAGTTGGTTAGTTTCTGTTTGCCAGCTCACGAGTGAACTGAGAAAGGAAATCAGGTTTTCATGCTTGCGCTTGATCGTTTTGCAAAACAAAACAATCCTGACATTTATGGAAGAGTTTGCCTGTACTCGCTTGAAGCCGACGCAGCCATACATTCAGAAAGGAAAATGCCTTTTGCAGTTTGAGGTTGGTGGGAATTTTGGCCCTAGTTCTGTTCCCTTCCAATCCCTCCTTTGCATACTTTATTTTATATTCGGGCTTACTCTACAGCAGACCTGACCCTCCTTCCTGTGTTGTTGTTGCTTAAATGAGAGCCATGACACTTTCCACCTGTAAACCTGTATCATGTCATCAGATACTGCTTTTTATCTTGTGCCGTTGAACAAATTCAGAAGCTGCGTTTGGCTTTTATTTCTTAATTCGTTTTGCATTTTAGTTTTCCATCTGATATCTCTTCGTATTACATCTGCTTTTCTAGTAGAAGCTGGCATCATTAGCTGCTACTTTTGTAATATGTTTGCTTTATAATTAATGAGTAGCTGATGGCTTGGATTGCCTCTTAGGAAAGTTGACATTTGTTTTCTGGTTTTCTACTTTTTATAACCTTTTCTAGACCAAATGGTATGCACCAGTTTCTGTAGAGTTCTGACAATTAGGAGTGTGTTTCTGTCTATTATAGTACTGCAACTACTCATCCTGTCTTTTGATTCATTCTTCTAGGAATTGGATCTGTTTATTTCCATGCCACCCTCAGTTTCCTGGGTCAGATGCTGGATGAGCTGGCTATTCTCTGGGTCCTGATGTGTGCTCTTGCCATGTGGTTCCCTAGGAGATACCTGCCCAGAGTTTTTCGAAATGACAGGTAGTTACACAATCATACATGTACACTTGCATGTTTCTTGGTACTTCTGCTAACACCTAAGCCTGCACCAAATGGCACTGAGTTATAATGGCAACTGTCTTGTAAAGCTGTGGACCAGTAGCTGAAGGGCAGTGTCAGGACCCTCTCTCTGTCATGGTCCTGCCACAGACTGGGACTGGGTGCTTAGGGCCCAGTTGTGATTCATTTATGCTGAGAATATACCAAATCGGAGCCTTTGTGTGAGAATCTCTCACCTGCTGTTGAATTTGATTAAATGTTCTTAGCATGTAGTTTTCAATATCTTTAAAGACTTAAAAGAGACAGAGGAAAGCAAAACAAGACTGTAACATGACTTTAGAAATTGAGACAAGATTGGTAACAAAATATCCTAAAATCCCTGTTAGAAGCTTGAAAAATGATGACACAGAACTTTTTTATAAAGTACAGTGCTGTGTGCACAGATGGATTTGTTCCTGACTTATTGTGGGAAGAGCAAGATTGGACTGTGGCCTTAAAATTTTGAAACTGGTGCCGAGTGGGTGAGCAAACACGTGTGCACACATACATGTGGCTGGTGCAGAAGACCATGGTCCAGCAAAGGGTTGTGTATATGATTAACTCTGCATTCACATGCAAAATCCGCATCCACTTCATGTGTATTGTCATTGCATCTTCTAAACACACCTAGGGAAACCGAAATTCTCTTACATTATTAACATAATTGTAAGATTGCTGTGTTTAGTAATTAAAAGTTTTAAATTAAGAGCTGTTTTTCTGCCCCATCAAAACCCTATAAAGGAGCCGATTTAAAGCTGCTGTGGGTGTCCTGTCTGGAGTTACCACCTGCCTTGCCTTCATTAAACCTGCCATCAACAATATCTCCCTCATGACTCTGGGTGTTCCCTGCACAGCTTTGCTCATTGCTGAGTTGAAGAGGTGAGTACATTTCTCTCCTGAATGCAGCATGTGCTTCTGAGATCCTTAGGCCACCATGTGATGATACACTAGATCTGGCTTCAGTACTTGTTGTATCAGATCAGAAATGCTTCTTCCACATGCAAGTGCAGATCTCACATAAACTTGTTTGCCAGTTCAGGCACTTTTGTCAAGGATTTTTTTTTCCTTAGGTTGTTACATGAGGTCACATATTTTCTGTCTTCTTGCAGCATACCTCTTGCTGCAACCTGATCTAACTCAAAGTTGTTTATTATGGAATCAGGGCAAGGGTTTCACTTTACAGGCAGCATTTCTGCTGTATAGAGTGCATAAGGGTGAGGTGGTGGCATGATTGCAGTCTGGATACTGGTGAGAATGTGGAGCCAAGCCCAAGCATGTAAGGAAGATGTTCCAATTCTCAAAGTTGTACTGAGAGTCTTAGACCACTTTGTCTTCTTGGTATGGGTAATATGATTGAGTCAGACTGACAAAGGTAAGGTTAATTACTAGGCTGTAGAGGATACCTATCAGTCAGGGCCTTAGAAACCATAAAACCAAGTGCAAATAGAGAAGAACCTGAGACTGATCTTTGCATTTTAAAGAGTTTTTCCATTACAGTGATACCAGCTGCTGTCCAGAGACTTTTTTTTGTCTCTTCATCTCCTGCTAAAAGGACTTGAGGAGTGCTAGCATATGAACTCGCCCTTTTCCACCTCTTTTCCAGCATCTGAGAAGGCTGGCTCTTACATACTGGCTATTTCCATCAAAAGAAACAAATTAGGACCAAATGTCTGCACTTTGACTGCTTCTGTTAGAACAGAGATCTTTCTGTCTGCTGTGTTACCCTGTTCAGCCACTCCTTCTCCATACAGTGGAAGCCTCTGCTAACAATGTTTGGTAAAGGTGTTTATTAGTCTTTTCTCATTAGACATCCTGCTGTGTGGTCAAAGATGCTTGGGAAACAGCATGCAAGCTAGTTGTAGACAAGATCAGTAGCTGAAGAAGATTAGTGTTGTCTCATTTTGATGACAGCACGAAGGAACTACTGACAGAGCAAATGGACATCTGGTTATTGCACTGGATAATCTGTATGAATTATTTATTGGTTCCATATCAGTTTTCCCGGCATGAACCCTTAAGAAACTTAGAAGGACAAGTAATTCGTGTCTCATAAGTTTCAGTACTGTTATGTCAAATCTAGGAGTTGGTATGCCTACAGGTATTTGTTTTTTATAGCTTGTGAAAGGTAGTGTCTTGTTAAAATGTGTGGAGTTTCCCTGTCTGTTTGGTTTTTTTAGGTTAGAGAATCAAGGACATGGATAGACCTTTCTCAATCGGTGATTAAAAAGGGACCTGCAGTGACATAGGGCCCTCTCTAATTGTGCATTGAGATGATGTAACAGCTGTCGTATTTTTTGATGAATTCCTGAGTGTGAAAGGCAAATAAAAAGGTTTTATTTTAAGCTATGCTGATCCCTTGGGAGATTTAAAGAAATGCATTCTTGCAAAGCCAGAGGAGAGGAGTCATCCTTCTACAGGAGAAAAATTAATCTAAGCATCATTTAAAATGCTTGCTATTTTTCCATTCTCTGCTACCAGAGTCAGGAGGGGACTACACATCTGAGTCTGACAGGCTGCAGTAGAAATTTGTCCATGAAACAGGTATTTGGGGAAGAAAGAAGAGCCTCTAGAGTAGCTTCTTCTGTTCCATGCTGAAGTTTGTGATGTGTTAGACTCCCTGTTGTTATTACTGTTCTAGGCTGGTGTCAGTCTGGTACAGAACTCTACTGTGTTTTCGAATGAGAGTTTTCTGCCTCATGTTTGTCTTTGATGCAAAGATAATATTGTCACAAAAGAGTGTTAGGTTCTTAAATGTGGACCTGGTAGGGCAGAGGTAACAAGGGGTAATGGGTTCAAAAAGAGTTCAAAAATTTAGGTTAGATATTAGACAAAATTTTTTACTGTAAGGGTGGTGAGATACTGGAACAGGCTGCCCAGGGAAGCCCCAACCCTGGCAGTGTTCAAAGTCAGGTTGGATGAAGCCTTGAGCAATCTGGTCTGGTGGGAGGTGTCCCTGCCCATGGCAGGGGGTTGCGACTAGATGATCTGTAAGGTCCATGCCAACCCCTAAAATTCTATGATTCTATGACTAGTAGAGAGCACACAGCAGCATGAACATCTCTTTCAGACCCTCAGAAATGCCATGTCCTAAAAGCAACTTGTGCAAAGGATAATGAAAATACTCTGTCAACAAGATTAGGCAGTTGGTAGCTGTTCTGTCATTAATCCAGTAGCTAGAAAGGTGCCTTATGCTAATCCGTAGAGTTTCTTAGTCCCAAATGCTTGTTAAAATGTCAACTGAAACAGTGTTTCAAGAGTGAAAAAAATATACTTCAGAGAAACCTGTACTAATTCTTTAGGTTGCAATACACCAGGGCCAGGCATCTTGCTGCTCATGCAGCAGAAGTTGCTGCATAAGTTGCTGCTCATTTACAGAAGTGTTCAAGGGCACTCTGTGTATGGTTTTAATTTTTTTCTGAATTCTTAGCTAGGCACCATCAGCAAAGCTCCTGTACCAGTGGCAGTTCTGGATTTCCAGCAAAGAGAGGCAGGAATCATTCTCTGCCTGTGCTTCAGCTGAGTAGTTGGAGGTCATCTCACCTAGGCAGGATGGTGTAGTGATGAGCTTTGTCTCAGGAACAGAGTTTGCATTACTAGTTCCTTGTCAGTGAATGCAGAGTTACCTGTGACTTGCAGTCTATGTCTGACTATGGAGACAATTAGCAGTAAATGATGGAAAGTTAGAACTCTGTAAATGTATCAAATGTGAACAACAAGCTTCAGGCTGACAATTTTTTTTTTTTTTTGTGGAAGACAGAAGGATAAAAGAACTTTTTGCTCTGTGCTGCTCTGTGTTGATCAGTTGTCAAGGACAGTCATGTATAAGGAGATCAGGGACCATAAATACTGCTGCTGTGCACACAGTAGAGACTGTTCTGCCTATTCTGGCTCACTCTGCCAGGGATATACATAGTAATTCCTTCTCAGTGTCACAAGGTGAAGTGTCCCTTTAAAGGACCTGTTTGCCAGGCATTGCTTATGTTCCAGATGCAGTGAATGAGCCCAAGAATTGTGTGGAAAAAGACTGGTTGATTCAGTGTCAAGTCTACTGACTCCAACTGATTGGAACAAAGAGAAAGTTGCATGGTGATCTCGTGGAGAGGAAAAGGCATGGAGACGTTACCAACAACTTTTGGCAAAGGTTTAAGAAATAGAAGATGAGTGTGGATTAGAGGAACCCTTCTTTGGCCTTGTCACAGGGGAAGGGACTTAACATTGACTCGTTTTGCTTCTAGAATATAGAAGGAGAAGAAAGGGGCCTGTAACCCGGTGAAGGCTGGGTATTCCTTGTTATACTGGCAAGAGATCTGGCTTACTGGTTTACTCCTGAGATGTGGTTTAAACAAGTCACTTTAAAGAAATTATTCTGTCACCTCATTAGTAGGCCTGGGAGGTGATATCAGTGACCTGGGAAGTGCAGTGCATTCAAGCAAGAATTGTCCAAGAGCACTGAATAGTTCTTGAATCCCTGGAAAATTCACCAACAGTTTAACACAGGAACAAAAAAAGGTGAGGGGGAAAATCCCAAATCATAGCTTTGTTCTTGCAAAAGGTGGGGAAGCTGAGCCATGGCTTCCCTTGGCCTCACAGGGCTGGTCACAGCCCAGTCTACCATCAGTAACAGTGGAACTGCATCTACTGGCACCAAGAGGCCTAACCCCAAAATAGCAAGTGCAGGCAGACAGCAAATTATTCACATTTTGGGACCTGAAGATTATATTGATGCTACGTTTTTCCTGATTTTACTTTTTTCAGCAAAGCTGCACAGTTGTTAGAATAATTCCAAGATGTGGAAAAGAACAAAACATCAAATAGAGAGGGAAAAACTTGAGTAAACCTGCAACAACTAATGCTGTGCAAGTGTCCTGGCATCTGCTGTTGTATTCAGTGCTGGTACTGCAGACCACACTGCATGCAACCACAGCAAATGTTTCTCTCTTTCTCTCTGGTGTACCTCTGTTTCTTGTGAATGGAGAGAACTGCAGCTTATTCAATGTGAGGAATTCTGAGATGTGGATACCTGCACCTGTGGATGCTTCTTTAGGCCCTCTGGGTAGAGGCACCTACCTTAGAAATTCTCTGGAACTGTTCCATTGTACAATACTAACTTGTAAGGGGAAAAATCAACTAATCAATTAAAACCCCTTGTTCAGTTCCCCTTTTTTAACCAGTCTTTATGTAGTGACAAATAGGAACAAATGTGAGCACTGGCTGCGGGGTGGTTGTTAACTGACAGCACTACTTGTCCTGAGTCCCCCACCCTAGAATATGGGAATGCTTTGGTGTTTGTTCACCATTTGCACATTGGTATTTAAGACAATACACAAAACACAGCTACTTAGAAAAAGGTTTATTTTGTTACCTCACTGCTGCCTTTTATCAGAGACAGATTTACTGTAAGTGAAGTTCAGCTATTAAGGATATTTATGTTGGAGTCATTTTAAAGATGTGTCTCTGGCATGATGAATCCTACCCTAAAATACATAGAGCCCTGAATCATCAAACTGCCATTGCAAAGCAAATTATGTTTTGTTTTATAACAGCTTATTTATGGTTTTCTCCTCAGGTGTGAAAACCAGCGTGCATACAAACTGGGTCTCTTTTCAGGTCTTTGGTGGATGCTAGCACTTTTTTGCTGGATCGGTGACAAAGTGTTTTGTGAGATTTGGTCTGCGTTTAACTTCCCCTATTTGCACTGTGTGTGGTAAGTGTTATGTATGAAGTCCAAGGTTTGATTCAAGTGTGATACATCCTCACCAAATTACCCTTCTGTGCTGCCTGGTGGCTAGTTCTGGACAGAATTACTGGTAAGATTATGAGCCCAGAGCAAGTCTCACAGTATTCAAGGCAGCAGCTTTAGGATTCACTTTGGCCTGATGAGATTCTTCAGACACCAAGTTTGTTGTGGTTGAGACAGACATGCGACATAAACACATACACAGAAATGGTGGTGAAAGGCATAAAGCTCTCTATTATAAATTACCCCTTTTTATACCTTCTACATAAAGAATGTCTTTTATTCATTGGATATAACACATTACAATCAACCTGTCATTGGCTACAAATTACTTAAGTACATATTTCATTTATCATCCTGTTTGTCCAAAGGCTTTCTCTTCTTTGGCCCTTGTTCCTCTTTCTTCTGGTCAGCGTGCCTCCCTCTAGCTGCTGCAATCATTCAGGGATACATGATGATGGGCTCAAGGTTGACACCTGCAAGGCCTTCAGACCAACTGTCAGCTCCCACACAAGTTCATTAATTGTAATTGAATTCCTTGACATACTGGTTAATAAAAATTCCACAGCACTGCTCAACTGAAGCTGTGCCTGTGAAAGCTTAAGCTTCCATTGTTAACAAGAATGGTAATCCTCATGCTGATTGAGGATTAATGATAGTGAAGTGGGGGCTTTGATGTCTTTTCTCTTTCCATATAATCATAGAACTTTAGGGGTTGGAAAAGACCTTACAGATCATCTAGTCACACCCCCTCCTGCCCTGGGCAGGGACACCTCCCACCAGAGCAGGTTGCTCAAGGCTTTACCCAGCCTGGCTTTGAACACTGCCAGGGTTGGGGGCAGCCACAGCCTCCCTGGCCAACCTGTGCCAGTGTCTTACCACCCTCACAGGAGAAACTTTTTTCCTAATATCGAACCTAAATTTCCCCTCCTTCAATTTGTACGCATTGCCCCTTGTCCTGTCACTGCAGTTCCTAATGAAGAGTACCTCTCTGGGCCCCTGTAGCCCCTTCAGATACCGGAGGGCTGCTCTGAGGTCTTCACACAACCTTTTACCTCGCAGCAAATTGTAGTCTCTTACTCATGTGCCATATCTCAGCATTTCTGCAGGTACAGAGAGGCCAAAAAGCTGTTTAGACCAGGGATAAGCTATGGTTTTGTAGTTTTACTTATTCTCTGTATTCTCTGCCTCCATGCAGAGTGTAGACAGCAACCCTACGGGGGACTCAGGGGAAAATGGTGAAGGAAAGACTGATTTTAAAGCATAGTGATGTAGTTGATTGCTTTACTGAAGTCATGTTACTGATTTTTTCTTCCTTTTTTTATTCTTTTTCGGGCATGTGGTTGTCTATCCACAGGCACATTCTGATTTGCCTTGCGGCATACCTGAGCTGTGTCTGCTTTGCTTACTTCGATGCTGCTTCTGAGATCCCTGAGCAAGGCCCTGTGATAATGTTCTGGCCCAGTGAGAGGTGGGCATTCATTGGAGTTCCCTACGTCACCCTCCTCTGTGCATACAAGAAATCACCAGTGAAGATCACATGAAGTGGGCCACGGAATGGGGATGGATTTTCAACTTACATTCCAGCACAGACAATATTTAAATAATGGTAAACAACTAGTGTTGTATTTTTTCTTCTTCCTAAGATAGGCAGCACTTCAGATGCCATGGGAAGAGAAGGCAAGTGTTTTCTCTCTGAGAAGGATAGAG